ACACTCCACCGAAACTGCCTTACTCAAACTCTCCAATGACCTGCTAACCACCAAAGCTAATGGCCACTATTCAGTGCTCCTACTCCTTGACCTCTCTGCGGCCTTTGACACAGTCGACCACCCCCTCCTCCTCAAAAAACTACACTCCCTCGGCCTCAGAGATTCTGCTCTCTCCTGGCTCTCATCCTACATGTCACAACGCTCTTTCAGCGTTACCTATAATGCTACCACCCCCCCTCACTCCCCCTCTCTGTTGGGGTCCCTCAAGGCTCTGTCCTCGGGCCCCTTCTCTTCTCCATCTACACCTCCTCCCTTGGCCAACTCATACACTCACGGCTTCAACTACCACCTCTATGCCGACGACACGCAAATCTATCTCTCAACCCCCCACCTCACCCCCTCGGTCTCCGCCCGAATCACACACCTGCTGAGCGACATATCAGACTGGATGTCGCTCCACTTCCTTAAACTGAACCTCTCCAAAACCGAGCTCCTAGTCTTCCCCCCAGCCCACACACCATCCCCCATTGACTTCTCTATCACATCGAATAACGCTACCATCAAACCTGCCCCGCAGGCCAGAGTACTTGGTGTCATTCTGGACTCCAACCTATCCTTCCAGCCCCAAGTCCAATCTTTAACAAACTCGTGCAGACTCCACCTCCGCAACATCGCCAAAATCCGCACGTTCCTAACCCCAGAAACCACTAAACAGCTCATCCACTCCCTCATCATATCACGACTCGACTACTGCAACTCCCTCCTCACTGGCCTGCCTCACCGCTGGCTATCCCCGCTTCAGTCCATCCTGAATACGGCTGCCAGACTCAGTCACCTTTCCAACCGCTCTGTCTCCGCCACCCCCCTCTGCCAATCCCTCCACTGGCTTCTGATTGCGCAACGGATCAAATTCAAAATCCTAACGCTGACGTACAAAGATGTCCACCATACTGCCCCGAACTACATCACTGACCTAATATCCAAGTACCGCCCAGCACGCACACTCCGCTCCTCACAAGACCTCCTTCTCTCTAGTTCCCTGGTCTCCTCCTCCCATGCCCACCTCCAGGACTTCTCCAGGGTGTCACCCATCCTCTGGAACTCCCTGCCCCAACCCATCAGATTATCACCTACTCTCCTCTCCTTTAGGGCGCACCCTGAAAACCCATCTCTTCAGGGAAGCCTACCCCACCCCCTGCTAACTTGCCGAACTCCTCCACTCTTCCTACCACTCCATCCCCCACAGCTATCTCCTCCTGTGCCACATCCCCTCCCTCCTAGATTGTAAACTCGAAAGAGCAGGGCCCTCGATCCCCTCATGTTTTGCATTGTATTGGTATTGTTCTGTCACATGTTCTGTCCCCCTTTGTAATGTACAGCGCTGAGCAAACTATTGGTGCTTTATAAATGCTGTATAATAATAATAATAATAATAATAATAAATAATAATATTTTTGCTATGGATTCATGGACTACACCATCACTGATGTCTAAACCAGCTACTAATCGAGTGAATGCATAGGTCTCTTTCTGAAACTTAAAAGCTAGCTTGTATTGACAACTTTTAGCTAAGGGGATCGAAAAATGACTGTTATCGATTTCCAAAACAGAAAACACTTTGGATTCGGCCTTTAAATGTAACTTGATATTAGAATGATCAGGAACAACTGCTTTGTTATTTGTGATATGTTTATTCAGTGTCCTGAAGTCAACTGACAAGGAATATGAATTGTCAGCATTTTTGATAGGCCAAATACAGTTATTTACCACTGATTGTGTTTTCTTTAAAATGCCAAGTTGTACAAACTCTTGAATAATGGCAGAAAGTGGTCCTATTGATTCTTGTGGTAACTCATACTGATTAGGGGTATAGGATCTTTTCCCTCAATATTCAATTCTGTATCTTTCAAAGTTCCTATGTCATTTGTAAATTTTGACCACAAACTTGGAAAACGTTGTACCAATTCTTTGTAAAGCACAATTACCATCAGTATCAGGCCATTTTTTTGTGCTGTAGACATTTTAGAGTTGAAACCAACATCACTGTATATAGAAGGATCCATTAACATTGATTTGGGCCTAGATGGATTCCTCCAAATAACTTTGGTCATAATATCAATAATCCACTTTTGCTTATTGATAAAATCAATGCCAAGAATATTCTCGGTGGCATTACTATATACCAAATATCAATGTTAGTTTTCACTAGCCCAGGTACTTCAAATGTTACATTAGGCACCTGTCTAGCAGTGGAATGACCTGTATTATTAAAACCTTTTATTTTACACATGGGTGAATTTGGTTTCACAGGTACGTTTTCTCTGGTAAGACTAATCTCAGATCCGCTGTCAATCAGAAATGTAATCTTTTTACCATTTAGTAAACCTTGTATAAATGGTCTTCCATTGTCATCCAATACAATTGGAGCGACAAATTCTAACGATATTGGGGATGAATGTGGACGTGATTCTATTTTTGGAACTGGTAATAAACCATTTGTGTCTGTGACAACCCTTCTCACCATGTTGTCAGAATAGTTGTTGCCAGGGCTGAACTAACAACTCATGGGGCCCCCAGGCAAAAGGGGATCATGGGGCCCCTGTGTCCTTGCCCAAACTCAAAAAAGTCTATGAAAAAGGTACCAGGGGCATCTCATGGGGCCCCCTACCGACCCCGAGCCCTCGGGCAGTGCCCGAGTTTCCAAATGGTCAGTCCGCCCCCTGGTTGTTTCTAGTCAAATTATGAATTTGTTTAACTGTTGAGGCATAAGGCAATTCAGTTAAACTTTTATCATTACACAACACAGCAGCAGTTGTACAAAAGCTGCTTTTTCACTTTTTATTTACATTTTCTTTATTTGTGAGTCAATTTTAAACTTCCAACAATGCCGTCTGATATGACCTTGTTTATGACAGTGAAAGCATGTGGTATACTTTTTATGACTCACTTGCTTGCATCTGTCGTTGTCATTCTTACTGGGACTTGTGGTTCCTGGCATAACTGCAGTCTGACTATTTTTGTCACTTTGAATCACAGCTATCTCATAAGTGATATTGCTGTTTTTCAATTTTCTCCGGATTTTGTCAATGAAACTTACTATGTCATTCAAATTTTGTTTTTCCTCTGCTATGACAACTGTCACTGGATCAAGATACTTGAATTTCTTTACAAAAGCTTTGATCATAGCTGAGTCTTCCTCATTTTCTACTCCAAATATAATTTTATATGCTTTGGAAAACTTATTTTTAAACTCAAAAGGGTCTTCGTCAGCAGTAGTCTGAAGTAAGTCTAGCATTTCTACAGAAGGTACGTCTTCACCTGTTGAACATAACAGCAATTGTCGCAGTCTGTCTGTCGCGTCATTATGTTTTTTTCTGATCTTTATCGTTAATAACAGAATTTTTAATTCGAGACATAAATTTAATTGGCAGCCACAACGGAAATAAATAATTTATGTCATGATTTGAAATCTGATGGCATTTGACATGCATTTCATATATTTCCATGTTGCTGTAGATATCTTTATCTGAATCATAAGCAGGGAAGTCTTTTAAAACTTTCATTAATTGATTATGTATTTGCAACTTAAGTTTTGCAGTTTTACATAACAATTTCTTTATGTTTAATTTGTGTTTCGTCATCAGAGTCAATATCCGAACTTTCAGAGATATCGGACAGCCGTGGCTCTGATCTTGAATCACTCTGTTTGTCATCTGTGTTTATCATGGCAACCTGTTTACTGTCATTCTGCAGTCTTAACAAAAGATTTGTCTTTGAGTCAATTTGTTCCTCAAGATTCTCTATGTAATTACAAAAAATGTCACAGTTTGGGCAACTAAGAGCATCTTGAGACACATTTTCATGCTTTTCTGTATTCTGTACAGTGCTACATTCTGTCTGCTTTAATATACAAACTTTTTTAACAGATAAATCAACATTCAAAATCATTTTGTTGAATATTCTTACTAAAATTTAAGATGTTAGATATCTTTTTACGCTGTCTGTGCACAGTAAATCTAGATTTATCTATCTGAATATTGGCCTGTAAACATTCGTTATACATATAGTGCCATAGCTGACCGTCTTCAGGATATAAAGAAACATCTTTAACCATTAGCCGCCCGGCCAATGGCAGTTTGGCGGCTTCAGATGTGCCTCTTCATTCCGGGTGCACGCCATTTGGCGTGCTCCCGCACATGCGCCGTTTGCGGTAATGCAGAGCGGCGCAGCAGCGCGATCTGTCACGGGCCATGCACCTCGGACACGGCAGATGACAGATCCGAGTACCGGCTCCCGTTGCTGGTACCATGTGACCTGCTGTGACCAATCACAGCAGGTCACATGACAGTTGTATACAATGGATGGCTTCATTCATGATGCCATCCATTGTATACTAGTGCCTAGCTGTGAATGGTCACAGCTAATCACATGCACATGTCATGTGATTAGCTGTGACCAAATCACAGCTAAGCACAAAAAAAAAAAAAAAAAAAAAAAAAGCTGAATGAATCGATTTCATTCAGGTAAATGCTTGCTTATAGCGAAAAGTAATTCTTTGCTATAAGCAAATTGTGTAAAAAAAAAAAAAAAAAATACTGATCACTTCCCCAAAGTAGTACAGTGTTGCTATGGTAACATTGTACTACTTTGGTCATAGACCAAAATAGAAAAAAAATCTTAAAAAAAAAAAAAAAAAAAAAAAAAAAAAAAAAAAAAAAAAAAATAAAAAAAAAAAATATATATATTTTTTTTTTCATACTGTCACCAGTCAGTGTCCCTGTTAACCGCCATGCCAGTTATATGATTCTTTGCTACTGCACTGGTGACAGTATGTAAAAAAAAAAAAAAAATAGTGAAAATAATTTTTTTAATTTTTCATTTTCCAAAAATTATGTTGACAAAAAAATACAACTTCAAAAAACTCGCCATGCCTCTTATGAAGTACGTCGGACTGTCTACTCTGCAAAAAGGGGTCATTTGTGGGATATCTGTACCGTCCCTGACATTTGGGGGATATCTGTACCGTCCTGACATTTGGGGGATATCTGTACCTTCTGACATTTGGGGGATATCTGTACCGTCTGACATTTGGGAATATCTGATATATCTGTACCGTTCTGACATTTACATCTGTTGGGGGATATCTGTACCGTCTGACAAAATATCTGTAATATTTACCGTCCTGACATTTGGGGGATATCTTTACCGTCCTGACATTTGGGGGATATCTGTACCGTCCTGACATTTGGGGGATATCTGTACCGTCTCGACATTTGGGGATATCTGTACCGTCCTGACATTTGGGGGATATCTGTACCGTTCTGACATTTGGGGGATATCTGTACCGTCCTGACATTTGGGGGATATCTGTACCGTCTGACATTTGGGGGATATCTGTACCGTCCTGACATTTGGGGGATATCTGTACCGTCCTGACATTTGGGGGATATCTGTACCGTCCTGACATTTGGGGGATATCTGTACCGTCCTGACATTTGGGGGATATCTGTACCGTCCTGACATTTGGGGGATATCTGTCCGTCCTGACATTTGGGGGATATCTGTACCGTTCTGACATTTGGGGGATATCTGTACCGTTCTGACATTTGGGGGATATCTGTACCGTCTGACATTCGGGGGATATCTGTACCGTTCTGACATTTGGGGGATATCTGTACTGTTCTGAAATTCTTGGACCTCAAGAAATTAGATTGGCTGTCAGTACTTCAGGATTGATCAATATTCAGATCTATACCATAGTTTGTGAACTCTATAACTTTCCTACAAACTAAAAAATACATCCTAATTTGGGTTATTTTCAGCAAAGACATGTAGCAGAATACATCTCGGCCTAAATTTATGAAGAACAATTATTTGTAAACTTTTATAACAGAAACAAAGAAAAATGTTTTTTTTTTCAAAATTTTTGGTCTTTTTTTGTTAATTTAGAAAAAAATAAAAACCCCAGCGGTGATTAAATACCACCAAAAGAAAGCTCTAGTTGTGTGAAGAAAATGATAAAATTTTAGTTTGGGTACAGTGTTGTATGACCGCGTAATTGTCATTCAAAGTGTGAGAGCGCTGAAACCTGAAAAATGGTCTGGGCAGGAAGGTGTAAAATTGCCCGGTATTGAAGGGGTTAAACTCTAGCTTGCTTTCATTAACTAAATCATCAATAAATTCCATAATTGTTACTCACCGTAATCAGATGATTTTCTTGTTTGACCCGGCTCAGTCACTGGACCTCTCGTTCACGTCTGACGAAACACAAACGCCTTCACTTCTAGGTTCTTTTCACCGTGTTTTTCCCAGACTTGACAATCACAGAATTGTGCGTTCTCCCCCTTATCAAGGAATGGAAAAAACCAGAGAAAAACTGCAGCGGAGGCTGGCTCACCAAAATGTTGGATTTTAAAATATAATACTTTTTTAGTGTCTTGAGGCGATTATGAATGAAAGACAGTTCCATGGAGATACAACTGTACAATGTATATGAACAGTTCCAAATAACAATGTAAAGTGTATCGAACAGTTCCATGGAGATACAACTACTGTAAAATTGTAAAGTGTATCATTGATTCCATGAATGAAATACAACAATGAAATAACAAAAAGTGTATCATGAACAGTTCCATGGAGATACAACTACTGTAGAAATAACAATGTAAAGTGTATCATGAACAGTTCCATGGAGATACAACTACTGTGAAGAAATAACAATGTAAAGCGTATCATGAACAGTTCCATGGAGATACAACTACTGTAGAAATAACAATGTAAAGTGTATCATGAACAGTTCCATGGAGATACAACTACTGTAGAAATAACAATGTAAAGCGTATCATGAACAGTTCCATGGAGATACAACTACTGTAGAAATAACAATGTAAAGCGTATCATGAACAGTTCCATGGAGATACAACTACTGTAGAAATAACAATGTAAAGCGTATCATGAACAGTTCCATGGAGATACAACTACTGTAGAAATAACAATGTAAAGCGTATCATGAACAGTTCCATGGAGATACAACTACTGTAGAAATACAATGTAAAGCGTATCATGAACAGTTCCATGGAGATACAACTACTGTAGAAATAACAATGTAAAGCGTATCATGAACAGTTCCATGGAGATACAACTACTGTAGAAATAACAATGTAAAGCGTATCATGAACAGTTCCATGGAGATACAACTACTGTAGAAATAACAATGTAAAGCGTATCATGAACAGTTCCATGGAGATACAACTACTGTAGAAATAACAATGTAAAGCGTATCATGAACAGTTCCATGGAGATACAACTACTGTAGAAATAACAATGTAAAGCGTATCATGAACAGTTCCATGGAGATACAACTACTGTAGAAATAACAATGTAAAGCGTATCATGAACAGTTCCATGGAGATACAAACTTCATGTCTTTTGGGAAGTAGACGGAAGTGAGGATCTTGCAGCATGCACCTGTGCAGCTTCTCAGACGTGGATGTGTGTGTATACAAGAGTGTCAGTGTTAGCGTTTCCAACTGTCCCTTATGGACCTTTTATCCAAGGAACAGCGTCATAGCTAGCGATCTTAATACCTTCTATGGACATTATTACTGCTTGGCAAAGCCATTTCATACAAGGAAGGGGATGCTATATATGATGTCTGATGGACAGGTTACAGATGTGATGTACATAATACTATAAGCTGATGATGTAACCTCAGCTATTCATATATAAATGATAATATAACCTAAGAAACATATCAATGTATAATCACTAATCTATATATGTATCAATGTTAGAGACGTATACTAAATACACACAGATACTATTATAAACACATTATGTAATAACAAGTCACTTCTAATACCTCTGACATTTTACTACCAGAGACGTATAACCAGCTATACCGAAATATACAGTTGCAAGAAAAAGTATGTGAACCCCTTGGGATTACGTGGATAACAATTGGTAAAGCGTAGTTTTGCATGAATTGGGCATAAAATGTGCTCTGAACGTCATCTAAGTCACAACAATAGAAGAACACAGTCTGCTGAAATAATACTACACAAACATTAGATTGCCATGGTTTAATTGCACATAACATGTAAACATTCACAGTGCAGGGAGGAAAAAGTATGTGAACCTTTGATTTAATAACAACTGTTGACCCTCCTTTGGCAGGAATAACCTCAACCAAACGTTTCCTGTAGTTGCAGATCAGACCTGCGCAACGATCTGGAGTCATTTTGGACCACTCCTCTTCACAAAAATTGTTTCAGTGTAGAAATATTCTTGGGATGTCTGGTGTGAATCGCTCTCTTAAGGTCATGCCACAGCATTCAATGGGGTTGAGGTCAGGACTCTGACTGGGCCACTCCAGAAGGCGTATTCTGTGCTGTTGCAGCCATTGTTTTGAAGAATTACTTGTATGCTTTGGGTCATTGTCCTGTTGCATCACCCATCCTCTGCAGAGCTTCAGTTGGCGGACAGATGGTCGTACGTTTTCCTGCAAAATGTCTTGATAAACTCTGGAATTCATTTTCCCATCAATGACAACAATCCGTCCAGGCCCTGAGGCAGCAAAGCAGCCCCAAACCATGATGCTCCCTCCGCCATGTTTCACAGTGGGGATGAGGTTTTGATGTTGGTGTGCTGGGCCTTTTTTTCTCCTCACATAGTGTTGTGTGTTCTACTGTAGAAAAACAACTCAATCTTGGTTTCATCTGTCCACAGTATATTTTGCCAGTAGTGCTGTGGAACATCCAGGTGCTCTTTTGCAAACTTCAAAGTGTGCTGCAATCTTCTTTTTGGACAGCAATGGCTTCCTCCGTGGTGTCCTCCCATGTACTCCATTCTTGTTTAATGTTTTCCTTATTGTAGATGTGTCAACAAAAATGTTAGCATGTGCCAGAGTTTTCTGTAGGTCTTTAGCTGACACTCTGGGATTCTTCTTTACCTCATGCAGCATTCTGCGCTGTGCTCTTGCAGTCATTTTTACAGGACGACCACGCCTAGGGAGAGTAGCAACAGTGCTAAACTTTCTCCATTTGTAGACAGTCTGTCTTACCGTGGACACATGAACATCAAGGCTTGTGTATCCTTTAATACAAGTTATTAAGTTATTAATTAAGTTATTAAGTTAATAATTTGTGTATTTGTGTAAAAGTATCCAAAGAGATACTTTTGTAACTCTTTCCAGCTTCATGCAAGTCAACAATTCTTGATCATAGGCCTTCTGAGAGCTCTTTTCTGCGAGGCATGGTTCACATCAGAGAGTGCTTCTTGAAACCAGTAAACCCAAAACAGGGTGTGTGTTTTTTAAGGGCAGGACAGCTGTCAGCAACACATCCATTATCATCACACTGATTGGAGTCAAGGTTGGCTCACTCCTGGCTCCAATTAGCTCTGGGAGAAGTCATTAAGCTAGGGACTCACATACTTTTTCCTCCCTGCACTGTGAATGTTTACATGTTATGTGCAATTAAACCATGGCAACATCTAATGTTTGTGTAGTATTATGTTCAGCAGACTGTGTTCTTCTATTGTTGTGACTTAGATGACGTTCAGAGCACATTTTATGCCCAATTCATGCAAAACTCCACGTAATCCCAAGGGGTTTCACATACTTTTTCTTGCAACTGTAGAATACTCAGCCTTCAGCTGGATACAGTTGCAAGAAAAAGTATGTGAACCCCTTGGGATTACGTGGAGTTTTGCATGAATTGGGCATAAAATGTGCTCTGAACGTCATCTAAGTCACAACAATAGAAGAAGAACACACTCTGCTGAACATAATACTACACAAACATTAGATGTTGCCATGGTTTAATTGCACATAACATGTAAACATTCACAGTGCAGGGAGGAAAATGTATGTGAACCTTTCGACTTAATAACCGGTTGACCCTCCTTTGGCAGCAATAACCTCAACCAAACGTTTCCTGTAGTTGCAAATCAGACCTGCACAACGATCTGGAGTCATTTTGGACCACTCCTCTTCACAAAACTGTTTCAGTGTAGCAATATTCTTGGGATGTCTGGTGTGAATCGCTCTCTTAAGGTAATGCCACAGCATTTCAATCGGGTTGAGGTCAGGACTCTGACTGGGCCACTCCAGAAGGCGTATTCTGTGCTGTTGCAGCCATTGTTTTGTTGAATTACTTGTATGCTTTGGGTCATTGTCCTGTTGCATCACCCATCCTCTGCAAAGCTTCAGTTGGCGGACAGATGGTCGTACGTTTTCCTGCAAAATGTCTTGATAAACTCTGGAATTCATTTTCCCATCAATGACAACAATCTGTCCAGGCCCTGAGGCAGCAAAGCAGCCCCAAACCATGATGCTCCCTCCGCCATTTTTTTACAGTGGGGATGAGGTTTTGATTTGTTGGTGTGCTGTGCCTTTTTTTTCTCCATACATAGTGTTGTGTGTTCTTCCCAAACAACTCAATCTTGGTTTCATCTGTCCACAGTATATTCTGCCAGTAGTGCTGTGGAACATCCAGGTGCTCTTTTGCAAACTTCAAACGTGCTGCAATCTTCTTTTTGGACAGCAATGGCTTCCTCCGTGGTGTCCTCCCATGTACT